TCTCGGCCTTTGCCTACCACCTCGAGGAGCTGCTGCGGCTGGAGAGCCGCGGGGTCCCCGGCGAGGAGGGGGACGGGCCGCCGCCCCCGCCGCGCCTCAGCCTCTTCGAGCAGAAGCTGCGGGGCCTGGGCGTGCTGCGGGAGCTGGCCCAGTGGGCCGTGAGGTCCGTGCGGGACCTGCGGCAGCTCACCAAGCCCAGCCCGGCCTCCGGCGCAGCCCCCAGCCTGGCCGAGAGCCCCTGAAGGCGAGCACAGGGCGGGGGGTCTTGGGTGCTGCTGGGGCTCCTTGCCCACCCTCTCAGAGGGCAGCTGACAGCGAAGGAGGGGACGCGGAAGGGAGGGACCATGTCATTAATCCCTGTGCTTTTAGTGCTGCTCCCCGTGGGGAAACTGAGGCACATGCTGCAGTCCACCCTGCAGGGAGCGGGGATCCTCAGGGGTCCTTGGGCTCTTCCTGCTGGGCGGTTGAATTCTCCCCCAGGAAGCAGCTTTGCCGCTCCCCCAGCGGCACTGCCCTTGTCTTTGGAATTTGGACGCTGCCTAGGGCAGGCAGATGCTGCCTATGGGGCTCTCGTGGATGCAGGGCAGGAGAGAAGCGACAGAAAAGCATCACCTGATGAAAGGAGTCTTGGGACCTGCAAGGCACAAGGCTCAGACTCCTGCACATGGACTCTTTCCTTCTGCCCAGCTTGGTTTTGCTGCTCATTGAATTTCTGCTCTAACTGCTTGGGGGCTTTTTGGGGAGGGGGGGAAGCAATCAGGAGGGGAATTCTTAACTACTTGGACATGATAATGGAGAGATCTTTTAACTGAAAGGGGATCTTTTAGCTATGATTCAGAAGCCCCTCTGCAAGGAGGTTAGTGCCTGCAGGGCTTATTTTAGGACTGGGAATGGCATGGGAGAATCTAACAGCCCCAGCCACATCGTTCACCTTGTGGAGTGCTGAGATGTTTCACAGCTTCCTGGGCCATGGTTCTCCTGACGACTGGATGTGATGGCTGCTGGCTGCTGAGTGAATAAAAGGCTGGGAGATTTCCCAGGGTGATGTACTTCTTGGGGGAGGTGGGACAGTCAACCTCACCAGAGAGCCTGGGCTGCCCAGTTCCCCCTCCAGGGAAGGGTCCATCCCAGTGAGGTGAGAGGTTTGGGGGGATGTGGCCCACTGGGAGGTCACGGGGAAGACGAAGGAGGTGGGGATGAAGGAGATGGTGTGAGGATGAGGAGGAGGTGGTGGGTCACAGGAGGTGTGCCCTCTCCTGGTGTGGTCCTGCCCTCTTCCCTAGCCTGTGAGAGGACAGGCAACATGGGGGGAGACCGGAGCCAAAGAGCAGGGAGGAGGCCGGGGACGTGCCCGGCCGGCTCTGCACAAAGCGGCTTTGTGGTGGCAAGTTGGGACAGCACCGGGCACAGCGCCTGCCCCAGCATCAGCAGCGTCTGCACAGGCACGGGGGCTCTGGGAACACAAAGAGCAGCCCAGGACTGAGCCCCCAGTGCCATCCTGCCCTCCCCACCGACCACACGGGGCTGCAGGGTTGGGGCAAGGGTGGTTTGGTGGGGTCTGGTTTTTTATGGGTGATGCCTAAGAAGAAGAACATGCACCTTCTTCATTGCCACTTACTGCCTGCCCTCAGCTTTGCAGCTCAGACTGGATTATTTCAATCTTTATGCTTCCCTGCGCTCTGGAATAACAATTTATGGCCATTATTTTTTTTCAGGATTAGTCAAATCAAGTCCCTTTTCTGACAAGTGTTTTTCTTGCCTGCTGCTGTGTGCTTGAGGCCACCTTGCTCTTCTCCCCTTTCACCCTCCAGCTCAGCAGTGGCCGGGTGCTCACATCCTCCTCACCTTCCTGGGGGTGGGCAGGGACATCTGGAGTGTGTCCTTGAACCTCACCACCCAACCAGGTGGGAACAGACCTCTTTTCTCCGGCGGCACAGGCCGGGTACGAGGTGACCTTCAGATCCTGGGGAGCCGGCCAGGGCTGCAATCCGATCCTCCCACATCAGCTGCTGGCAGAGAGTTGAGCTCAGTGCTGCACTTGCACTCCAGGGTGAAAGCACCAGTGGAGACGCAAGGTGGACATGGTGTTGCCCCAGGGATTTCCCTGGGCTTTTGCAACCTTCCTTACTCCTCCCCTGTTACGTCGCCAGCTGGGTGCACCTGCATTTGTGGAGCAGCCACAATGCTCAGGAATAGCTACTCAAACCAGAAACAATGGGAAAAAGCAGTCCATTAATGCAAACCTCCAGGCTTTGGCTGAGCGAGAGGCTCCAGCTCCCAGCCTTTCTCTGCCAGCCAGCCCCCACCATGCCGTGCAGAGGCGGTGACGTCTGAGCTGGCTGGGATTTAATGCTATTTTTCAGCTGCAGCCCTGAGGGAATCACCAGTGAAGTGATTTGGCGAGGACAGGGGCGCCCGACAGCTGAGCTCCCGTGGTGCCAGGAGGCCCTTGGATTTGCTTTGCCACAGATTGAAGTGAAGTTGATCTGGGTGGCTGAAGGCAAATGAAGCTGTTAATTTTGGAATCAGAAATTAAGAATTTGAGGGGAGGACAGTTGTACCCGTGTGGCTAATGCTGCTGAGGACCCCTGCAATAGTCTCCTGCAACCTGGAACCCACCGAAACCATCCGACTTTGTGCTTTGGGAAGAGAAAGGATTTGCTGGTGGGAACAG